CCTCATTCAAAACTATACGAGTGACACCTCTTAAGTGTTCTCTAGTCTTTGAACTTGCATAGGCAAAAACCCATTTACTGACAATCAATTAGAAACATAACACCAAAAAGGCTCCATATGATGGTGGGTTATTTCCAGACACCTTCAAACGCGACTCAGACGTTCATTCGAAAAGACAACCTGCTTGATCCATGACGATGTGGAAAAACACATCAAAGCTGCGGTGAGAAAAACAATACGGCAGAGAAAGTGAAGTTTTAAAAACAGCCAAAACAAATGGAGCCAGCTTTCTGAATACAGCCGAGAACAAAAGAGGCTGATAGAGTGTCTGCCACGTAAAGGTCAGACAGGATTTAAGCATGACCCCCGTCTTTCCAAGCGCAGGAGAGCTGCAATGCGGAGAGAGCAGCTGCGGGTGGCAGGCCTCGATAAGGCCGTGTGCTGGAGTCTGATAGAGCTGCATGCTGCCATACGGATATCTGCTCTCACACAGATCTGTGAAGCTCGTTTCCTCAGTGATGGACATTAGAGATGCACGCAGGATCCATTTGAGAGAGATGAGAGCTTTCACCATGACAACTGACACAGATATGTGGACAAACAGGCTAATGTGCCAGTAAACCACTTTACTGACACCAGTCTGTCCGGTACTTTCCTCTCAATACATGTTTCCTCTAATGTGAAAAGAAGTACGAGGAGATGAAGTGTTACTTCAACAAAGAAAAATGTACTGTATATATGCATGGCTCACTAATGATCAATAATTACGAAACATTTGTATTAATAAAAAATGAATAAGAGCTGTTTATGAGATTTTCTAAAAGAAAGAAATCAAGGTCCAATCCCAATTCTACCCCTTAGCCCTTCCCCCTTATTTTGCACGTTCACGTCAAGGCATAGAGATGTCCCAATTCTCTTAAGCTTGAAGGTGTAGGGCTAAGGGGAAGGGGTGAATAGCCCTCAAAAAGAAGATTTTTCAGGACCACGCTCAAAATCAAGGGTTAAGAAAATTTTTCCAGAATACACCTGCCAGAACGGCAGTATTGCTGAACCCGAATGTAAGGAGATCCACAAATTAGTATTTTTTGTCATTATTACGAATTTTTTCAACAAACAAACATGTTTTAATATATTCATAACCGCGTTTTTGTTTCACCGTCATGCTTTTTTTTTAAATGCTAAATTTCGCGATCTATAATCCACAATAATAACTCCTGTATAGTTGTCCCACAACATTTTGACAGTCGAATACCCTGTCAAAAAAGTCTAGTGGCTGGGAATGGGCTTTATACAGTATCTGCTCTAATGCTAGTGTTGTTTCGGTGTGTTTACATAGATGAATATGGCCACTGTGTAAATGCACAGTATCGTTATGATCTTATTGCCACATTAGATTATGATAGCATGGTATATGCCTTCTTTCTGAAGATAAATGCCAAAAAATAGCACAACTGGAACAACTACAGCAGTCGCCTTTGTCTGATCTCACGTGAAGCAAGAAATTGCGAAGACATATAATGACGTGTGCAGGTGCTGTCCCAATTCTTAGGGGTAAATTTTGAAGACCTTCCCCTTAACCCTGCAAGGGCCAAGGGGAAGGGGTAGGAGTACAAAAATAGAATTGGGATTGGGCCTAAATGAACATGCTCAAAATGAATTATGAAATGCCATTTTAATTACAATTTTTAATGAATACAAAAAAATGTCAAGAGAACCGTATTTGTTTACAATAGAAATCCACTGTGTTTAAACATAAGTTTGGCCAAAGGAACTTTGGTCGTACTGAGGGGCCGATCACACCTAACATGCTTTATGCGTGTACCTTTTTTGAATGGTTTTCTAACGGCCGTGAGCGTTTTGACCGCCTGCTGCACCTCGCATTTTTGCTGTTGCACACCGTGTGCTCGGAGTTGAAAAGAAGTCAACTCTGAGTGGAAAAGCGAATATAGTGAATACCAAAAACAACATTAAAAGTATCTAATATAACGTTATATGTAAAAATGTAAGAAATCAATTGAAGTAATAGACGAATGATGTGGAAAGATGTGGAAATGGGGTGAGGAAAATTATAAGCTTGCGCTTCATCCCGCTTTATTTCAATCATGATGAAATGTATTTTGTTTAAAGAATTGTTTAAAGTGTATGATTTTTAAAAATAAAATAAATCAAATCAAATGTATTTACTGTCACGTTTGGTCTAGTTGTTGCATGCTGCATAAAACTATTATTTTAGGCCTTTACCAACACATCAAAGCTCCTAGCATCTTTCCGCTAACAAATAAAAGTAGCACGCCAGGCTTTTTCCGTTGGCTTAACTTGCTGAATCGTTGCTTGTCAGTGTGTAGAGAATGTCTGAGAAATGACATGCGTTTATCTGATGATTGTTCACGTTTGTCGGTTTCTGTCGGTACAGTGTGAATTGGCCTTAAGACTGCCGTTGACAGGTCTGCTGGACTGTGCCTCATCAGCAGGCCAGTGCAGTAATCTCGCTTATTTTGCAAGCACTGCCTGGCCCTATGTGGCAAACAGCACAGTCTCAGTGGAAAAAAACATAGACAAGGTCAGAACACCAAACAGCTTGACCCAATGAATAATTACTGAAGTCAGATTTTGTCCACGTCATTTACCCAACAAATGCTCCTATATTTAGAAAATCTGCAATTACAGGGAAGAGGCGATGTACTGTTTATTTATGACCCCTGAGGGTCAATGCACAACAACAGTGTCACTATAAACTTCTCCAGGGCACGCTGTCCTCTTTATGGGTTCATTAAAAGAAAATCTCCAGATACTCACGGCAAGAGCTTTTTTTACCCTGAACCGTCCCGAAAGCATCTACTGACCTGAGCAGGTGTGCGAGTCAGATCAAACAGGCAATCAAGCCTCTTATGACTTAAGCTGTTTTACTATTAAAGGAATATTCTGAGGTCAGAACAAGGTAAGCTGTGCTGTAGTGTTGATTAACACATGAATCAACTCACTGAACACTTTGAAGAACAAAGTAAACCGGTAATGTAATGATGAGCATACTCTAAAGTCAACATTATCATACAACATTCACTCACCGGCCACTTTATTAGGTACACCTTACTAGTATCGGGTTGGACCTCCTTTTGCCTTTTTAATCCTTCGTGGCATTGACTCAACAAGGTAATGGAAATATTCCTCCGAGATTTTGGTCCATATTGACATGACAGCATCACGCAGTTGCTACAGATTTGTTGACTGTACATTCAGGATGCGAATTTCCTGTTCCACCACATCCCAAAATAGCTCTATTAGATTGAGCTCTGGTGACTGTGGAGGCCATTTGAGTACAGTGAACGCATTGTCACATTCAGGAAACCAGTCTGAGATGATCTGCGCTTGATGACATGGCACGTTATCCTGTTGGAAGTAGCCATCAGAAGATGTGTACACTGTGGAGGGATGGACATGGTCAGCAACAATACTCAGGTAGGCTGTGGCGTTGACACGATGCTCACTTGGTATTACAAAGTGTGCCACGAAAATATCCCCCACACCATTACACCACCAACACTAGCCTGAACTGTTGATACAAGACAGGATGGATCCATGCTTTCATATTGTTGATGCCAATTAATTCTGACCATACATCCAAACGTCCCAGCAGAAATCGAGTCTCATCAGACCAAGCATTGCTTTTCCAATCTTCTATTGTCCATTTTAGTAAGTCTGTGCAAACGGTAGCTTCATTTTCCTGTTCTTAGCTGACAGGAGTGGCACCCAATGAGATCATCTGCTGCTGTAGCCCATTCGCCTCAAGGTTGGATGCGTTTTGTGTTTAGAGATGCTCTTCTTCATAACTGATTGTTTTGTAACGAGTGGTTAATTGAGTTACTGTTGTCATTCTATCAGCTGGAACCAGTCTCGCCATTCTCCTCTGACCTCTGGCATCAACAAGGCATTTGTGCCCACAGACTTGCCGCTTACTGGATATTTTCTCTTTTTCAGGCCATTCTCTGTAAACCCTAGTGATGGTTGTGCGTGAAAATCCCAGTAGATCAGCAGTTTCTGAAATACTCAGACCAGCCCGTCTGGCACCAACAACCATGACTTGTCAAAGTCACTCAAATCACCATTCTTCCCCATTCTGATGCTCGGTTTGAACTGCAGCAGATCTTCTTGACCATGTCTACATGCCTGAATGCATTTGCATCAGTTGCTGCCATGTGTTTCGTTGATTAGAAATATGCGTTAACAAGCAGTTGGACAGGACAACCTAATAAAGTGGCCGGCGAGTGTACTCAAGCAAGAATTCTGCCAATTTGAATTTACATAACCAGAAGTTTAAAAATTGAATTTAATCTACTTCATAGCTCATAAACATATATATATATATATATATATATATATATATATATATATATATATATATATATATATATATATATATATATATACACACACACACACACAAAATGGCAAATACACTTAAGCCATATAAACATTTAAGGTACTGTCTGTATAATATAGACCCATAAATTTCATTTATGCAAAGGAAACGCAGCATTATAATCTAATATGTAGACATAGTCAAAAATTACTGTTATTTACTATTAGTTTATGCAAAATTGAAAATACAAACTTGACACAAAAACAGTATGCTATTAGTGTTTTAAAAATACATTTAGTACAGGGCTGATATACATATGAGGTTATGGATGACCATAAGGATTTAAAATATATAAACAAAGGAGCAAATCTAAATCAAAACAAAATTAAAATGCCAACTCAAGGTCACGCCCCCTCGCCAAAGACGTCACATCATGCAAGTAACACAATTAGCATCTCTTTGCAAAAGCAGAATCGCTCTAACGTTAAACCTGCAAACAATCTCTCCTTAGACACTCTTATTATTCGTTAGGATTACTTAACGTTATATATGCGATTACGAATGTTAATACCTCTATATGAAGCTTTGACAGGTCGACATAGCTGGCATTAGCCGTTTGTTTACATTTGTTTCTTTCACTTACCTGTCCACGATCTGCTGCATTACAACCGCTCCTTCTTCTGCCATATTTACATGAGTCCACGCACTAGTTATCGAGTAAAAAAATTACTTTAGTATTATCTTAATAATAGAGATTCAACCGTCAGGCCGCAGTGAACGCTAACGCGATGCTAACAACGCATATGGCCACCTTACTGACATCAAACGACAGCTGAAATCCGATCATAGACCATTGAGATCAATTAATATAAACCGATCTGTTAATGAATATTCATAAATGCCAGTATTTCCAGAAACACGCAGTGACTCCATTGACTGCGCGTGAGAAAACGCGAGCGGACGCGGCACCGCGCTTGTGCGAGCGTTAACTTCGGAATCGCGAGACCGCAAGTGCATTCTGGGACGTGTAGTCTTTATTCCATGTAGCCAAAAATATAAAAATTTATGTTCTCGCAGAGGCAGGCAGCCCAGAGCAAGAGAGACTACGCCTGCTGGAGCAACATGAAGATACATATTTGGCTTCAGAATACCTCGTACTGTGGTAAGGAGAGTGAACATATTTCAGCACAACTTAAAAATGACTGGAATGCATGTTTTATTTAACTGCTTACTGAAAGGGATTCAGTAATAATAATACATGTGATTAGTGAGGGCTTGATTCATTTCATATAGCACATACCTTTGGAATTATAGTGTTTGTTTATTGCTGATGTGTTTTGATATGCTATATAAAAATACAGTGTATACACATTGTATATAACATATAGTGTTTTGATGTCAAGCATTAATATGCCTCTTTAGCTAGGCTATATTTCTGTAAATTCACTGTAGCATATTTACTGCACTGTTCTCTATAAGGAATGTACACCTCACATTTGACCCATGTGAATAGCTTTAAATACAATAAGAAAAACCCAGTTGGTTACTTGTGATTAAAAAACAATAATACATAATAAATAATCTCTGTATTAGTATTAATGAGTGTTGGTTTAGTATTTAATGCAGAGATATCTGAGAGAGATCATTGTATTTTTAAAATAAATCTCTATTAAATTAATGTTGGTTTTGTTTGCTTTTAATTGTGTTTATTTTGATATTTGAATTGATATTTAATAACCAGATTAAACATACTCAAGTAAGTTTGGGTTATAAAATGGAAAAATTCTGCTGCATTACAACCCCTCCTTCTTCTGCCATATATATTTACATGAATCCACGTACTAGTTATCGAGTAAAAAATTTACTATAGTATTATATTTAAAAATAGAGATGCAATCGCCAGGCTGCAGTGAACATTAACGTAATGCTAACATTGCATTCGGCCACCTTACTGTGTTTATTTCAGCCTGATCTCACGAGAACATGTAAGTATTTTTCTTTTGTCGGTTTTGTGGCTAATTCGTACGAACTAGTTCGTTCGTACAAAATTGTACGTTTTCAAAAAGGAGGCGTGGCACCTAACCCCACCCCTAAACCCAACCGTCATTGGGGGATGAGCAAATCGTACAAAAAATGTACAAATTAGATCGTACTACTTCATACGATTTAGTCACTAAATCAAAAAGTTACAAATTGCCGTTAGATTGTTTTGTTTATTTTCATAATCAAAATCACCTACTGTGTTTATTTTGATAATCAAATATCAAAATAAACACAAAAAAGATCTGATTTCAGCTGTTGTTTGATGTAAACAACAGCTGCAATCCAATCTTTTTTATTGTGTTTATTTTGATCTTTGATTTGATATTCAATAAACAAATTTCAACATTCAAAAGTTCAATAAAAGCGTAAATATTGTGTTATAAAATTGAAATGTTCTTGGGTAGTTTCAGCATAACATCATGCAAAACATCACTGCACAATTAATCATATTACATGCTATTAAGATGTACTCAAAGAAATCTAAAAATAATCTGATTAATGTATAAAATGAATAGAAAAGTAATCGAAATCGACATTTAGAACCTATAATCGATCTAATTTTTCCAGGTCAAATTTTTTCGCTTACTTTCCCTATCACGCGTGGAGTCATGTGACCCCGCTTTGGCTGATTTATACTGCTGCATATGGTCAGACGCAGCCTTCATGCGGTCGCACAATAATACACTATAGCCTTTATACCTTCTACTTTTATTATGAAAAACATTGAAAATAATTTATTGTTTCCAAAAGTGCAAGTTATTTAAAAAGTGACTGCTCATTTCAGGCAATGGGTGTTTTAGTTTACTTTGTTCAATGTTGATGTGCAATAAATAATCATTGATAGTACATAGTGTGTGTTTCTTTCAATTATTATAAAATCAAGTAATGTAACTTTTATTAAAAAATCCCTCACCTGTAATATGTGAGCATATTTACTGTACAATACCTGTCAGTGAACTATGAGGTCAAAAAATAAATAAATAAAATAATTGTTCATTAATCGTAATCGAGTTAAAATTTTAGATTTTAGCCAAAACGCATAAAAGCATTTTATTTTATTATTATTATTTTTTTATGACTTAAAATTATACATTTAGAAGCACTGGGACCACTATGCATTTGAAATGAAACCTAAAACACTACCGTGATTTGCATATTATTCCATTATAAGCTTCACAACAAATCCCCAATTTTGCCTGGCAATCATAAGCTTCACAACATGTCACAGTGAATTTGACGGCTGTTCCGCCCGAAAAACTACAATTCCCACAATCCCTCGGTGCATCAGCCATGCGCCGCAGTCAATCAGCTGTTGAGGCGACTGCAGAAGGGCAGCTCATCTGTCATATCAAAACCCAGGCGAGACAAACAGAAATAGCCTTATTTACAGAATCCCAAAAGCTGAACGATAAGGTAAAGTCTCATTCATGTACAGCAGGAAAAACGAAAGCAAACGGGAAAAAAATGTCAAGCCATCAGATGCATGTTGTGTTTAAAAATAGCTACAAATGAGTTGTGTGCGGCGGATTGGAGTGTTGGATTTGGTTTCTTTCCCTTTCCAATTATCCGGTGCATTTTAGCAATGCATTATCATGTTCGTGCATGTGCTGTGAAGGTATAAAGTAGTCTGATTTGCTGTCATTTAGGTGGTCAGCGCGTTCTCTGATGTGATGATTTCTGTAATGACCTTGAATATGCAGCTCTAATGCAGCAAAACGAGGATTAACTGACGGAGTATTTTGCAGAAACGCTCTTCATCTTGTTACGATCGTCTGTTCTGATTAAAATTGATTAATGAGTTCATAAATCAATCAAGCTCGCTGAAACTGTCGCATTCTCGGCCTGTTTTTCATGGGAATGTTTTTGGCATCGTAGAATCCCCCAAGAGGTATGTTGAAACTGATGTACTTTTTTCATTAGGCTGAGTAAAATCTCTTTTCGTATATGTTTTGATATGCAGAATTGGTAACCCTTCACCTAATGGGCAAATAATGAGACATAATTCCTGAAGAGTGCAAACTGAGATCTGTGTCAGATATAATTGTAATACAGTCAGACTAAAAGCTCTGAAGTAAAAAAAAAAAAAAAAACATCCAGAGCTGTTGGGATCTCTGTTGCGTAGATGTTTTGTGCAGCATTGCTGGGTGTAACCCAAGATCCTGCAGCAAATATAACCTAGTTGTTGCTGAGCCGTGCCATGGACTGTTGTACACCACCCAAGTCTGAACATACATTTTGCAAAGTTACTCTTATATAGTTCTGATTGTATAAATACGTTAAAACAAATATGTCTGTTATAAACAAGATGCACAATATTCTGCACTATGTACATTAAATATAAAGCCAGACCAGTTTCAAAAATAACACATTTACAAAATAGAATTCATTCATCCACACAATTCACATTTACAAAATATAATTTGTGAATTCACAACACAATTCAAAAATACACTAATTCAATTTGTATATTCAAAACATAATTTAAAAATACCAAATCCAATTCATAAATTCAAAACACGATTCATAAATACACAAATCCAATTCGTAAATTTAAAACACAATTCATAAATACACAAATCCAATTCGTAAATTTAAAACACAATTCATAAATACACAAATCCAATTCATAAATTTAAAACACAATTCATAAATACACAAATCCAATTCATAAATTTAAAACACAATTCATAAATACACAAATCCAATTCATAAATTTAAAACACAATTCATAAATACACAAATCCAATTCGTAAATTCACAACACGATTCATAAATACACAAATCCAATTCATAAATTTAATACACGATTCATAAATACACAAATCCAATTCGTAAATTCACAACACGATTCATAAATACACGATTCATAAATACACAAATCCAATTCGTAAATTCACAACAGGATTCATAAATACACTAATCCAATTAATAAATTCAAAACACGATTCATAAATACACAAATCCAATTAGTAAATTTAAAACACAATTCATAAATACACAAATCCAATTCATAAATTTAAAACACGATTCATAAATACACAAATCCAATTCGTAAATTTAAAATACGATTCATAAATACACAAATCCAATTCGTAAATTCAAAACACGATTCATAAATACACAAATCCAATTCGTAAATTCACAACACGATTCATAAATGCACAAATCCAATTCATAAATTTAAAACACGATTCATAAATACACAAATCCAATTCGTAAATTTAAAACACGATTTATAAATACACAAATCCAATTCGTAAATTTAAAACACGATTCATAAATACACAAATCCAATTAATAAATTCAAAACACGATTCATAAATACACAAATCCAATTCATAAATTTAAAACACAATTCATTAATACACAAATCCAATTCGTAAATTTAAAACACGATTCATAAATACACAAATCCAATCAGTAAATTCACAACACAATTAATAAAATTACAAATCCAATTAGTAAATTCACAACACAATTAATAAAATTACAAATCCAATTAGTAAATTCACAACACAATTCATAAATACACAAATCCAATTCGTATATTCACAACACAATTCATAAATACACAAATCCAATACGTAAATTCACAACACAATTCATAAATTCACAAATCCAATTCGTAAATTCACAACACAATTCATAAATTCACAAATCCAATTCGTAAATTCACAACAAAATTAATAAAATACAAATCCAATTTGTAAATTCACAACACAATTCATAAATACACAAATCCAATTCGTAAATTTAAAACACGATTCATAAATACACAAATCCAATTCGTACATTCAAAACACGACTTGAAAATGCACAAATTCAATTTGTTAATTTAGAACATGATTCATAAATACACAAATCCAATTCATAAATTTAAAACACAATTCATAAATACACAAATCCAATTTGGAAATTCACAACACGATTCATAAATTCACAAATCCAATTTGTATATACAAATCATGATTTAAAAATACCAAATCCAATTCGTAAATTCAAAACACGATTCATAAATTCACAAATCCATTTTGTAAATTCACAACACGATTCATAAATACACAAATCCAATTCGTAAATTCAAAACACGATTTGAAATACACAAATACAATTTATTTGGCGATAATATTTATGCTTGTAACTTACGAATTCACAAATTGTGTGTTGTATTTATGAATCAGGTTTTGAGTTTACAAATTGGCTTTTCTAAACGTGAATTGTCCTGTGCATGTATGAATTTTATTTTGTAAATGTATTTATTTTGAGACTGATTTGGCTCCATTATTAATACATTGGTAAGAATAAACATGTAAATGTTTATTCTTACCAATGTATTAATAATGGATACACATTGACATAAAGTGCACAAAGCTATTGCACAGGGTCATGGCTTTTGGCATCAAAACAATAAAAGTGTAATACCTTTTTTTTCTCAGACATTATAATGTGTCTTGTTTATTTTTTCCATCAATATTATGACCTTCATGCTTTTTTACCATGCTTTACAGAAAACACCTACTAAATACCATTTACTGTAACTGTAGTTTATTAAAAAACTCTTGTCAGGTATTGTAAATAAAATTATATTTTAACGACATAAAAAAAAAAAAACAATTAGATGCAGCCCCACTAATACATGTTCAGTTTAAATCTTAAATGGTTTTACCTATTTGTCAACAAGACATTTTTTATCTTTTGAATTTTGTATTTGTGAAGACACCAAAATGTATTTGACCCATATGCATTATATTGTATTGTATAGGGATTGACATTGTTATGTGTTGTGTTATGCACTGAATCAAAAATATCTGTAATTACCAGCTGTCATTCAGCAACTGTCACACGTTGGATGCATTGTTTATTGAGTCTTACGACAGTTTTCAAATGAGTCTACTATCCAAAACACACTTAAAACGTAAACTTCGTTTATGACATTAAAACCGTGTAGTGTTTCTCTTATAACCTTGCTGAAGGACGCAGCTGTATTTATTGACGTATGCAAATTTATGGGGCGGAGCTTACAAAGAAAAAAAAAACAGGAACAAGAATCAGTTTCTCATTTCTGTCTGGAGTTCCGGTGAGAGAAAAACGAGACGTGGCGAAAATTGGCGAATATCGGTGACCTCCGAGCTTTTCTCGTGTTTTCGCGTTGGGGACACATGAGTGAGGGGGTTAAAACCGGAGTACAGACAGATCCGGTACCGCTGATGGCTGATCAGTGGCTCATTAATAATAATAATCCCCGCCCGATCGTTGTGATCAATAACAACTGATCGTCTGTGTTTCAGCTCAAAACATGCAGGATGATTTACTGATGGACAAAAGCAAAGCTCAGCCTCACCCACACCAAGACCCGTCAAACACAGAGCCTCCATCCACCCCGACCCCCTCCGAGCCTCCGATCCTGGACGAGCAGCACCACGTCGGTCACTCCGAGCGGCTCGCCATGGAGTCTCCGGTATTACCGGGTTTGGGTTTCCCTCAGGATTCCTCTCTCTCTCCGTCGTTCGGCAGCACTTGGTCCACCAACACCGTGGACGAGGGCTTTTTCCAAGGGATTCCGTCTGTGAACGGAACGATGCTTTTTCAGAACTTTCCCCATCACGTCAACCCGGTGTACGGTGGGAATTTCTCCCCGCAGATGAGAAGGTCTCCGCTGGGAGTGAACCAGAGAAACCCCTACAGTCACCAGACCCTAATTAATAAAGTTGCCGCCTCGTCCGCGTCCTCGTCCGCCTGGAATAACCACCAGAACGCGGTGTGGAGCTCCGCGGCGAACCCGTGGAGCGGCAGAGACCCGCGGAGAGGGCTCGGGCTGAGCGTCCCGTCTCCGCTCAACCCCATCTCCCCGACCAAAAAGCCCTTCCCGAGCACTGTTATCGCGCCCCCGAAATACCAGAGACCCGGAGCACTGCAGAAACCCTGGATGATCTCAGATCCTCCAGAGCCCTTCAGAACTGACAACAGCAACAACATGCTGCCATTTCAGGTGAGATTCTTCACTTCATCAATAGAGGTAATGCATAGGGCTGAGGTAAAGTTGGTTTTATATTCGCGCATTCCGACTTTCTCCTTAATAATATAGTCTATAATTTCAGAGCATGTTCTTTACAGATAAATAGTGAAATTGTTTTAGCAGCCAATTAGTATGAAAGTAGGCTACAACATTGTTCACAGTCAAATAGCTTAAATAGTGTTGTCTTGAAGGCACTTGCGTGCGATTTCAGACCGAATATTCAAAGTATGTGCGAATATAAAACCAACTTTCAACCTCAATAGCAAAGCGAAATTTTGTGTTGGTAGACTGATAGTACGAAAAAATGTGTTCATTCAAGTATAAAATGTTTTGAATTACAATTTGAACACACAGAACACACATTTAATTGTGGTAAAAAGTTTATAAAGGCATAGCCTAAAACGTAATTTATAGACGTATTTCTTTATGATAATCATAAAATAGTTCATTGACATTAAAAAAACTCCCTAAATAATCTCAGAACCAACAAGAGCAACAATATGCTGTCCTTTCAGGTGAGATACTTCTCTTAGAAAGCAGACATTTATATATAAATCCATTTATTTATCATAATAATTGTCTAATACAATAAATAAACAAAGTTCATTCACGTAAAAACTGTTTTGAGTTACAATTTGTACGGGTAGTAGGCTACATTTTATTGATATCAAAAAGTAATTAAGCCATGTTTCGTCATAAAACACTGAAATGTTGTTGTTTTTACCTGAATGACTTTTTATTTTCATGTCATTCAATGATATTATTATTTTCACTTTGTTTTTGACAGTGCTGCTTTAAAATTGTCAGAAACACCAGTTATTCCGAACATAGGGAAGTTGTTTTGAATTGTTTCCCAGCTGTTTCTATATATGTCATTTGTAAGGTGGAAGGGTTCAAATTCCCATCAGAGTTTGTCCCGCAGCTCGTTTGGGGGCGTTTAAAGGGAACACCACTCGAATCTGATTGGTGCTTGTGGAGTGAGAGGGCGGGGCCTGCTCTGCTGTCATGAACGGAAACATTGTAGCCATATACTGTTGACATATTCTCAGATGGAGGATATTGATATTTCTCTTTTATCAAAGCAGTTTGTGTTCATTCCGTGGATTGTAAACGTGTTATCTTATTATGGTCAATTATATGCAATGGTTTCTCCATAATTGCCTGGGATTACTCATAAATGGTTTTTGATGAGTCATGCATGCTGCCCTGATAAAAAAAGATTGTTTAAATTGCCCTTTTTGTTGATGAACTTCAGTAAAAATAAATAAATAAATAAGTAACCCAATAAATTCTAACTCAAATTCGGAACAAAAAACGATGATTAACAGGAAACAAGGAGCTAATTGTGTGATTTGTTTTTATAATGCAGCCTTTAAGAGACGTATATACTTCTGGTAATACTGACTTTCTAGGCTGTATGTAGCGTTATAAACAGATAATTAATCTTTATATAGATGTGCATTGATGATCAATTTGCACATTTGCATTTATGTATTTAGCAAATGCTTTTGGTTAAAATGACCTACAAAACAGAAGAGCAGTAGAAAAGCAGTTGGACCAACAATAGAGAAAAGATTCGTGAGTGACATCCCACTTCATCTAACACGGTATTTGTCTCATTGTTTTATAAAAATAAAAATAATAGGTTTAATTATTGTCATTTTAATTAAATGCATCACCATTTCACCCAACATTGGCCTTTAAAACACAGTCAATAGTGTTATTTTTAGCCCCATTTCATACAGTTCTGTAAGATGTATTTTGACTTTATTCAAAGAATACCTTTGATAGATTCACTCAACATTGCGATCAACAAGGTTTCATGCCTTCATTTACTTTTATAACACTTTTTGCAAATCAAATAACTATGTAAGGGTCCCATGAAAGATTATTATTTTTTTATTTTTTATATATATATCAAATGACATAATCTAAGGGCCCCATAAAAGAGTATTTATTTATTTATTTGTTTGTTTATGGACTAAATATCTCAAATAACATAATGTAAGGGCCCCGTGAAAGATTTATTTATGGACTATATATTAATAAAGGGACTAAGTCAAAAAGAAAATGTATGAATGAATATATATATATATATATATCAGAAAACAGAATGTAAGGGCCTCATGAAATATTATTTATTTATTTATTTATGGACTATATATATATATATATATATATATATATATATATATATATATATATATATATATATATATATATTTATATATATAATAACATAATCTTAGGGCCCTATAAAAGATTCTTTCTTTCTTTATTTATTTATTTATTTATTTATTTATTTATTTATTTATCTATCTATCTATAGACTATATATCAAATAACAATGTAAGGGCCCCATGAAAGATTAATAATTAATGAATTAATTAATTAATTTATGGACTATATATGTCCAATAACAGAATGTAAGGGGCCCATAAGGAATTATTTATTTATTTATTTATTCATTCATTTATTTATGGACTATGTATACACACACACACGCACAAATACATATATATGTGTGTGTAAGGGCTCCATGGAAGTTTATTTATTTATTTATTTATTTATTTATTTATTTATTTATTTATTTATTTATTTATTTATGTATTTATGGAGTCTATATACCCTGTAATAGAATGTAAGGGCCCCATGAAAGATTATTTATTTATTTTATTTATGTTTTTATTTACTTATTTATTTATTTATGGACTATATATCCAATAACATTATTTAAGGGCCCCATGAAAGATTATTTTTTTATTTATTTTATTTATTATTATTTTATGGAGTATATTTTAATATTATATTTAAAAAAGTAGTATATTTAAAAAGTATTAATACAGTTTGTTTTTTTATACCAATTAATTAAAAAAAAATTATATAACGACAGGTCAGGTAGGTTTATTGACCAAGGACATTTTAATGAATCTTTGTTTTACTTATTGCTTAATCTTATTGCTTGTTTAATCTTTTAAAATGAAAACAATCAATATTAAAATATTTCTGAATCTTTTGAAATTGAAATTAAGTCTTTTTATAAATTTTTATTATTAGTGTTATTATTAGTAGTAGCAGTACTAGTAGTATTATTATTATTATTATTATTTGTAGTAGTAGTAGTGTTGTTGTTTTATTATTATTATTGTTGTTGTTGTTGTATTTCTATCACAATTCAAGTTAAATTAATATGTAGTGTTTTTGTGATATAACAATTATTTTTCTCACATAAAACAACTCTGGAGATTAAGCTCACGTTCGTGTTTTTATATAGTGAGATGACATGATATAAATTGTCTGTGCCTTTATGTGTAGTAAAAAAACAGCCCATTTATGATTGTTATTAACTGCACAATCCTATTTTTGATTTGTGTCACCAAAAATTCCCAAATTCCATAACATTCTGCAGCTACTTTCATTTTCATGACGGGAATTCACAGATTCCTCCTTGTTTTCTGCATCCTAGAAATAAAACAAACGACCACATTTTTAAGAACTAGAAGCTCTATTAGGCGGGCAAACAGACTGCCACAATTCAAGATATGGCATGTGTGTGTGTGTGGTTGGTTAATGCTGAAATATGTGTGGCTGGTGTCTGATAGTGAGTGAAGTGAAGAGCTCAGCGTTTTGATTGCTCATGATTTTCACAAAGTGGACAGATTTTTATCTGGAACCTGAGAGGGGAAATATCGCTTTTTGAATGCTCAGCCAGTTGCGTGACAATAGGCTCGATGTGCAAACAATGTGCTTCCCTGGGTTGGCCTCTGCCCACTGCCGGATTCATCCACACACACATAGACATTCACTGGCTCGCTCTCTCTTTCACTTATGCTTCATTCTCCTGCTCATTCTCTTCAACTTGTTTAATCGCATATAGTGTGGACTGGCCATCTCTCCTGATCCGAGTCTGGCTGTGAGATGGCAGGAGAAATATTGAAGTAGAGATGATGACGCAGATTGACCATCGTGACCATGAGGCACAGCACGAGTTAGAAATTCATAGCGCTTCTGATCGAAAAATAGATAAAGCTGCCCTGAGCCATTATTTCTGATGTGTTTTACTTGTTTAACTGCACAGTTTATTTTTATATATTTATGTGTATATGCTGAATCATTATGATGACACGCACAACCACACACACACACGCATATATACAGTTGAGGTCAGAATTATTAGCCCCCCATTGATTTTGACTTTCTTTTTTAAATATTTCCCAAATTATGTTGCAAGGAAATTTTCACAGTATGTCTGATAATTTTTTTTTCATCTGGAGAAAGTCTTATTTGTTTTATTTCAGCTAGAATAAAAGCAGTTTTTCATTTTTTAAAAATAATTTTAGGGTCAAAATTATTTGGAAAAATAGTAAAATATTATTAACTGTCATCATGGCAAAGATAAAATAAATCGGTTATAAAAAATTAGTTATTAAAGCTATTATGTTTAGAAATGTGTTGAAAAATAAACAGGAGGGCTAATAATTATGACTTCAACTGTATATTTACATACATAAAATAAAAAAGTTAATAGTTGGTTTTAAGGCCGCTCTGCCCTACAGTGTCTTTCCTTAGTTCAATTACTGTCGTGGATGATTAAAAGGAAACTGTACATAAACTACATTACTATTTGTATTATCTTCTCTAATGTTGTATTCAACCTGTCTCTCTTTTTTTAGGTCTATATTAATTTATTTTAATTTATACATTTGATTTATTTTTTTGAATTAATTGGTTTAATTTATTTTTAATTTGTAATTTTTAATGTAGGTTCAGTGATTTCACCTTTAAGGCGAAAAATAGCTTTTTTAATTCCCTTTTAGTGAAATAACTGAATATAAACTTAAAAATAGTTCTTTTAGAACCATAAATTTACCAACACATGGAGGTTTTTACATTTGAGGAACTGGAGTGACTCGCCTGATTACAGTAACGTCCCCCCTCAACTGTAAAACTTTTCTATACAGACAGTAATAATCCAAATAAGAATTTCTGCTAAAGCTAATACATCCCTGACATTTCAGTCGCTTTTCTGAGCTTTAAACTCCCACTAAAATGAGCTATGGTTTTCTCTGTCCAATAACAGCATGCGTTTCATTTACAACTGAAAGAGGGTTTAGCTCGACTTGAGGCAAAAGTTGATTAGTTGCCCATGTGTACTGTCCAATCGCATTTTTTACCTCGATTTTTTATTTTTTTTTTCAACTCGAGAAAAGCATGTAGCAAAAAGAAAAGAGAAGCAAGTGGGAAATAGACAGAGAAAAGCATTTGTCAAATGCTTTTTTAAAAAGCTATTTAAATTGTGCACTTAAATGCATTTAAACTAATCTATAAATATACGTTTTTATTGTTTAATCAGCGTTTTAAAACATCAATTAAATAAACTTTCATAAAATTGTCTCTATATATTTAAAAGTTATTTTTAAATGCATTGCTTAATCGCTTTATTAAATGACGTTTAAAATCACAATTTAGATAAACACATTTAAAAATGTCTATTTATTTTTCCATTAATTGTTGATTTAAATTGTGATTTATTTATACACATTTAATGTTTCAATTATTAAATGAATAATTTGATTCTTCGTTTTATTTCTAACTGGCACTCCTGGTCCTCCATATTTCCCCCTCCATATCTCTCAAAATGATCTGAGATAATGCATTTTGTGTGTTTCCTCGTATTCATCTAGACACATTGTCATACACACAGACACACACATGCTTGCTAACATATGAATATACTGATATACAAAAATATCTGTGAAAGCTGGCATTCGGTTTATGTTATCTGGTTTGTGTTAACATTGTAAAAATCACAGACAAAATAAGACAAAAAAGTTAACAGTAATACTGAAGTGGACTAAAATCATGAAAAAATTAGAAAATTTTTCTTCGATCACTTTGTACGTGCGTATGTAACCCCGCCGGTCCTACACCACCCAACCCACTACGAGCCGGAATCGAACCGGCGATCTCTCGAATGAGAGTCGGTTGCTCTACCAAGGAGGCTAAAGACCATGGCCTCTAGTGACTGTCGCTAGAGCACCTTTAGAGGTCAGAGGAGTGAGGTAAACCTGCACAGCACTTACTAGCTGGCCTCCGTTACACTCACCCCCTAAACCTCACTCACATCCGGGTCATGGCACCAATGTAACCCCGCCGGTCCTACACCCCCCAACCCACTGCGAGCTGGTATCGAACCGGCGATCTTCTGCATGAGAGTCGGTTCCTCTAACAAGGAGGCTAAAGACCATGGCCTCTAGGAGTGAGGTTTACTTGCACAGCACTTACTAGCTGGCCTCCGTTACACATGTGTGCGTGTGTGCCCATTTATAACATTATTTTGCGTGTAGAGGACACTCGCTACCATTTCTGGAACCTGTACTATGACGCTGGATTAGCTGGCTAGCCAGTTAACTTTCAGTTTAGTTTGCATCAGTCTTTGGTTTTAGGTATCATGAAGGCAGCTCAATGTAATCACTCTTTGTTGCCATGATTTTATAAAGCAGCTGATCCGAGCTGCATTCATGGTACCTAAAACCCAGAATTGTTGTAAACTAAACTGAAACCTTACTGGCTAGCCTGCTAATGTGGCTTTATGGTACTGTTGTTTAGCTTGTGTTTTTGTTTATTGGATCAAAAATGATTGACTCTAATTAGAAAGGCTGTGAAATGGTGGTGCAGTGTGACACATCTTTCACCTGTGACCTTTAACACCTTTCCTTTTGTCTTTCAGGATCGAAATCGACCCTTCGACCCCTTCAACTTGCAGACTTTGGAAAACTCTCTAATGGACATGATTAAGAACGACCATGACAAAGGTAAACACCACCCTGCCGCTGGTCCACCAATGACTATCGCTGATATTTTATGGAGGAATCATTTTGCAGGTTAGGACTGTTTAAACATCCACCCTTCTGTGCTCTTTTGGCGTCAGATTTTTCAAAGCATTTGATTACCTGTTTGTATTTTTATGTTTATTTAAATAACTGATGTTCTGTTCATTCTAAATAAAAATAATAAGTATATTATATTATTTGCAATTATACATTATATAATAATATTATATTATAATATATAGTAGTATTGTAAAATAATATCGTTCAAAAGATAATGTTAATGCTTCATATATGTTTATATATGTATATTTTATTCATATATTATAGAGTATGAGTATTTATTTATTTATTTTTTAGATTTTAATACTTTTATTTAGCAAGTATACATTAAAGCTGATTTATACTTCTGCTTCAAGCGCATGTGTATGGTCAGGCGCAGCCTTCACGTAGTTGCAAAGATGTAACAACATGCCACAATGATGCGTAGCACAAGCTCTGTGATTGTTCGTCTTGGTAGTGGTGATGAGTCTGGGCGGTCGTGATGGAGCGATTGTTTAAAAGTGTCAAGTCCCATGAAGGAGCTCCAGCTGGAGACTGTTGTTTTGTGTTTACTTTATGATTAAAGTTGTTGCACGTCTGCCGGTTCCCACTTCTGAATGATCGAGTTTGAGCTACTTGGAGGGTTTAGAAAAAACAAAAGACCCGCAAAGAAAGTCAACTCCGAGGAACATAAAAACCTACTGCTAGCTAGCAATTCGGAAGTGTAGTTGCAGAGAAACACAAACAGCACGCAGAAATATAAATGCACGACTATGTGCAAGGCAGGCAACATGGGTCAAGTATAAACCAGCCTTTTCTCATAATTTATTAAAAAGTATTTCTAATATTTTATTTTTCAAAAATCATATAATACTGAATTCTGAAGCATCATGTGACCAGAAGCAAAAGAAATAAATTATGTTTCAATGTGATAATAAATAAACAATTTTTGCAATGATTTGTAAAAGGGCTGGACGATATTGGACAAAAACTAATTTTTGGAATATTTAATCTGTCTGCGGTATATATTGCGGTATGAATATAATTTCACATGATCACTTAAAACTCAATCTGGAATGAAATTATTTTTACATTGATTGGATCATTTGTACAGGAGTATCTGCATAAAATACAATGCAATTGAACAAATACAAATTAATTTAATGATTTTCTGTGGAATCTAAGAGTATTGAGCTACAGAAATACATTAACAATAGATTAAATCAACGTCCCTTTAAGGCAAGTCATTTCACTCAGTGGCCATCTTTGAAACGCCTCTCGGGCAGTATGCTTGGGCATTCTGTCTGAATGGGGAAACATTAAATTCTCCAAAACTGTTTGCCAAGCTTACGATTACATTACATATTTGTAATCGGCAATGAAATTAAACAAAAACAATCTCATAAGATCAGTTTTTAAACGTCTGAATCAAACAAAATCTGCATATTTTCAGGTTGCCTAAGCAAATGCTCCTGCGCACTCGAAATGAACGAGATCACGACACCAACCTCATTTATGGCCGTTTTACATATTTTTAAACTCTGAATAATGCTTCATCAGATCGCACTGGTTTTCTGAAGTAATCCACAACTTGGTCTTGATGGTGAATCTCCTAAAGAAATAACTGCGACTCTTTGTTTTACAAGTTTATGAGCGTTTGAGTTGGATGGACTGCACCTCGCGTTCGTTTCATACAGATTACAAAACCAAAAAACTTTTGTTTTCATGTGCACTTGGTTCATTTAAAAGCAAAGATTTCAAGCTTTATGTGTATATATTTTTAAAGCAAGAGATTTCTGAGATTCCAGTGTGTTAGTTCATCACCAAACTGTCATAAAAACACAAGTCTGGTTTGAGCTTCTGCCCCAGAGATACGTCAGTCTATAGTGATTTATGATTGGCTCCTGTACTAGTAGGTAGCACAAAAGACAGCATACAATGTATACAACATGAAACAGAAAACAGCATGCTCAAATAACTCTGGTATTAAAAGGTGACGTTTCAGTTTCCCTTTAAACACAGATTCAGTGGAGACTATTCTAATAGACATTTGGGGCACACAATAGAAAAGGCCCAGTCTTCCTTTTTCTTTAACTTTGATTTGGGAACTTTAATTTCTGACTTGATGACCTTAAACATGTAGCAGATATGATAACAGTGACAAGTTCAGATAAATATGAAGATGCCAGACCTATTGAAAAATATACAGAATACCAGTGCTGAGATAGCTGAGTCTGGCAGCTGCGTTTTGGACCACTTGTAGACGATTAATATAGGATTGACCAATCCTTTATAAATAGTGTTGGAGTAGTCCAAAAACTGTCCTGACCTCAAACCTTTAAACAGTATGGCAAATAGAATATAAAGCTCAACTGCAAATATTCAGAAATTTTAAATAGTATTTTAGCCTTTTTTAAAGCTGTATTCTCCATAAATGTGATCATTCCTGCCTCCGCAAAGACCGTTTTAGTTGTTGTCATCAGGTGTGGGAAACGTCTCTCCTCAGATGTTTTAAGATCTCACTCGAGTCCCATGGGACGTCATGAGAGATGACTTTCCTGCTGTAGACAATGGGAGCGTGTGATTGTGTAAAACTGGAGGCCAGGGAAATTGTTTTTATATGCTAGATGCATAGAAAGCCTCAGCAGGGGCCCCCCGTCTCAGGTGTTTTTCCAGATCTAGGGAATAGCTGGGTAGATTTGAGAGCTCCTGGGTCGAATGTGTCTGTGAGAGTGAATCTGGCGGTTGGAGGATCTGGATTCTTGAGTGATTACTCCTGGAAAGGTAGAGCTGAAAATCCTGACCGACTACCAGACGCCCTGGCAAACGGCTCACCTCGAGCAGATGTCAGTGAAGTGGGATACGGACTGAAAAAGAGACTATTTATCTGAACTTTCTTGGAGCGTCCTAATAATTCTACTTAAATTTCTGAAGAATCATTTTCTTCCAATGTATCTTTAGGGATTGTGTTTCTCCCATGTATCTGTGTTTGCGCGTGTGTGTACAGGTTTATGTGGTTTACAGTAGGGCTGCACGATTTTGGGAAAAACTGTAGTAGCTGAAGGCAGATTCACTCTGCTTTTACTGAACTCTTATAATTTCTAATTTACTTGATCCTAATGATCTGAGTGATCTGTTAGGTTTGTATTCAGTGAGCATTTCTGTTATGTACTGAGGTCCTAGGCCATTTAGTGTTTTATAGACAAGTAATGATACTTTAAAATCTATTCTGAATGTAACTGGGAGCCAGTGTAAAGACCCGAAGACAGGTGTGATGTGCTCTGATTTTCTGGTTCTGGTCAGAATCCTGGCTGCAGCGCTCTGCAAATGTCTGACTGTCTTTTTGGGGAGGCCAGTGAGGAGTCCATTACAGTAATCCACCCTGCTGCTGATAAAAGCATGAACACATTTCTCTTTGGAAGCAAGCATCCAGTTCCTGTTTTTGAGATGATGGTATGCTAATTCGGTTACTGCTTTGACATGACTATTGAAACTAATATCTGATTCCAGAATAACACCAAGACTCTTGACCTTATTTTTGTTGTTTGACATTTAGAGCCAAGGTACACAACGACATTCTCTCTGTTATACTGAAGAAAGTTTTGGCACATCCTTCTGTTTTGTTATTCTGTGAGATATATTGTGATATAAATTAGTGTTGGGTTGATAGACAATGTCATCGTCCATTGCAATCCTCACCGGCATCGCGATCCTCCACCCCGCCCCTGTCGCAGCAGCAACCCTCTCGCAAAAAATACACACTTAGGCCCTGTTTACACTAATACTTTTTAGTGTTAAAATGGCGTTGAAGAAGGAAAAGATCCACGTCCACACTGGCGTTGCATCTAGCATTTTCGAAATGATCTCTCCATCCACACTATACAGCTGATAACACACATCATCGGTCTACATATCTAATATTGCATTGTTTAGCATCAAACTTAGTGTTTTTCTTCAATATTCATGTTCATAAAAACACTATACTGTATTTCTCAATCAGAGTTATTTCATTCTAACTGAAAGTGTCTATATAAAGCTGACTTCTATTGAATGGATATGGACAATTTTGCTTTAAGCTTATATATATATATATATATATATATATATATATATAGGGTGAGGCAGTGGCGCAGTAGGTAGTGCTGTCGCCTCACAGCAAGAAGGTCGCTGGTTCGAACCTCGGCTCAGTTGCCGTTTCTGTGTGGAGTTTGCATGTTCTCCCTGCCTTCACGTGGGTTTCCTCCGGGTGCTCCGGTTTCCCCCACAGACCAAAGACATGTGGTACAGGTGAATTGGGTAGGCTAAATTGTCTGTAGTGTATGAGTGTGTGTAAATGTTTCCCAGAAATGGGTTGCGGCTGGAAGGGCATCCGCTGCGTAAAAAGTTGCTGGATAAGTTGGCGGATCATTGGCAACCCCGGATTAATAAAGGGACTAAGCCGACAAGAAAATGAATGAATGAACAGCCAATTTTATATTTATATATAAATTTAAATCAACAATTTATTTAAACCTTTTTTATTTTTATTTTTTTATCCCTCATTTTATTTTGAATCAAATGGTAAGCTTAAAAGACTCCTTACAAAAAGCAAACTATTAACTATTTTTTGTGCTCTACAGGCAAAAAAATCTATACTCATTTCCTCAAAATCCATTTAAATGTTGATGGTAAAGCATTGTGAGCCTGTTCAATTTTTTCAATCAACATCAATCCAATTCCATCAATTTTGAGGACATGTTGTGTTTTCTAATGCAGAACAGAATAATCAGGTCACAGTCTCTCTATTTCCAACTCTGACACAAACACACCATCACAAAGATGCCTTTGTGCAAGCTCGTGCGCACATATTTCTGTTGGACTTCTCACATGATCTGTCTTGTGCAACTGTGACCAAAGGTTTGGACTAAATCGCTTGGTTTTCTCAGCGTCATATGTTTTGAAAAATCTTCCAAAGCTCGACTGATATTGAGGTGACAGTCACAGCCTGGCAGCCACCAGCGTCTGATTTTATT